AACTTAAAAAGATCAAAACCTTTTTATTTGTATACCACATCATAACCATTTGTCTGTAAAATGTTTTGTCAAAAGCGAGTATTTGCTAATAGCAAATACTACAAAATTGACATTAGACGGCGGAAGCATTGAAGTTTCGGCGATTGATACACATGATATATTCTTGTATTGTACGATATTATAATTGAAATCATTTCAAAATCATTGAAAGTAATTTTTTTTATTGAAATATTTGTAGCTTGTCAAACACAGCCAATAAGTTAGCTTGTAATGTGAGCAAGGGTTCCACAAACAACATGTTTTTAAAGCGAAACGATCATTTACATCCGCCGACAATATAACACACGATTATATTGTGTGAGCGTTTTATATCGTTTTACAATACGATAAGCATAAGTTTTAATAGAATCGACTTTTTACCTGTTTAAATCGAGCAATATCATACTAGTGTATTATGTCGTTTAATTGCTGCTTAGTTCTAATGCTGTTCTATTCCATCTTTTTGACTGTAATGTTAAATACATTTTGAGTCATCTTTTCAAATTTGATAAATGTTTTAATTTCTATGCATGAGCTATATTACAAGACCGTATCTTTGAATTATAATACGCCTCATCTAGGGCAGTATTTCTCGAGGTCAACGCCCTATGTCACAAATATAATTACGTTTGGATAAACTTTTTGTGGTTGTATAAAATATTTATTTACGTAATAAAGTTTTATAGTCTGGGTATAAACTGGGCCAATTATTGTGTTATACAGTCAATACAAAGAGTTTATATTTGTTAGTTTGATTATTGAAGCAATTTCTGGACCTCTTCGAAAAAATAACACATTCATATATACAATAAATACTACTAACAATTTTATAACAATTAAATTGAAAAATAATACAATGTGATGTCATTGATAATTACAAATTGTAATAAAATGCAATCACTCAAACACCCAGTACAAATAGTTAATTACTTATATATACACTTCGATTCATCAAAAAACTATTTCATTTACGTATATCTACAGATCACATTAAAAAATCTGTTTAATTTTGTCCACTGTATATACTAAACATAAAGCATTTTATGCTACTAGGCGTGCGTGGAATGTATCAATCAGATTGACTGAACAATCAATGTCTCGAACGAGATAATATTAGTCGATATACTTTTGAAGAATTTTTGTAAGCCGTATTCTGTTCCAGATAAAATGCCAAAAATTGTTTGTTTTTTCAGGGATTAATTAAAAATATGAATGCTGCAATAAGGGTTGCAGTGGCACTCGTGACTGGTGAAAATCGATTAATGTAATTTGCCAACGCTTGTAATTTCATTACAGTAAAGTTTATTTGGGCTCGTTTGAACAAAAATAAGTGAATAAAAAAACTCATTATGCATACTTCGCTGAAAATTACCCAGAATGACTTTAGAAATATTATACATGAGATAATGGGAAAACGGCGTTTAACTTCACATCTCGTTTTTTAACTATATATAATGTTATTAATAAGTTGTAAAGTATTTAAAATCGCAATTTCAAAAAGCATTATCATACAGTTAACACTTCGAGGAAGACAACAGTTACAAAAATTATAATGTGTCTAAACTAATGTATTTTTTTGAATCATTGCGGAACAAATCCATTTCAATCGCAGCTGGCCGAAATCCGCCATTATAACAGGATAACCCGCCATGGTTCATGGGTTATATTTATAAAACCGTAAATTAATTGACATAAAATAAAAATTTAAAGTAAAATGGTGTATAAATTTTACAATCAGTTAAACAGTGTGGACGGTTACCAAACATTTCAATTTGGATTGCGTTTACGGTACCTCACGCTGCGAGTCTAATTTTGTCACACCTGTCATCCGGAGGTGTTAATGTGCCATCTTCACGCCGAATTAAAATATTCAAGTGTAAAATAATCAACTCATATCGATGTTTATGACTCCCACGGAGGATATTTTATAATCGTGACAATGTCCGGGGGTTTCAATGTTTACGTTTATATCATCTGTGATTTGTCACACGGGTGAGTAAAGACATGATTACGAATATTAACCTGAAAAAACATTTATTTCAAATGTGTAAGTATTTATGATCGTATGTCCCAATTTATCTTTTTTATCATATTGTTGAAACCCCCTTCAGAAAGCAAAAATAACAGTTAAGTTGAACAGGTTGCTTTCTTGTTAATTTTGCCGAGCTCATGGGTTTATGTCTGTAATTATGAATCGTTCTGAACAAATCAACACGGTTGTAGCGTTGGCTGTGTTAAGTTACGATAGTTACTTAGAGTATTTTACTTGCGGGCCGTTTATTTGAGATAAAAAGTAAAAAGTTCCAGGCATACTTATAATTAATTAAGTATCTGTGTTCTCATTGTGATGTTTATATATGTCAAAATACTTTCATCTCAAACCAAAATAAGCCCGACAGCAGATGTTCATTCTCCGCATTGGTCGCTGTTTTTAAATATAATGTAGTGCTTTATTCTTAATTGTATCAAATTTGAAATCGGGGCTAGCTAGAGAACAACCAAGTATGATTGAGAAAAATTATCTATATTCTACACTTGACAACTGATTAACTTTTCGATACTAAACATCCACGCGTGTGAGCAACGAATATGTATAAATATACAATTAAAATCAATAAAATTAATCCCCAACGAGGACCAGTAGACAAAGTGGTTCAAGACAAACGATCATAATAATGTAAAACAATATTTGATGGCAAACATATGAGGACATAATTGTTCGAATTCCACCGAAGATATGGACAGAAAGCACTTAGTCATTTGTACACAATCGAGTGTTAACAATTTGGAACTCATCGCCCAATGTTGGTCTAACTACGTCAATACCTGTTACTAAATACTTACTAAAGCCTTCCTTATTATACACGAAGTTATAACAAATGTTTATATTTCACAACCGATTCGATAAAATGTAATTATGCTTGGCAAATCACTTTAAAACACTAGTAACGGCAATTTTCAGCATTCTCGAATAACCTCTCTTATAGACGAAATACATGGCTATTAATATGCAGTTGCTTACGTATTCTAATCAAAACATTTCGATTTTCATTTGAGGTGAAAAGGGGAAAACATACACATTTCTTCACTGTTCATACTGGTCGGTAACCGATGCCATCGACATGATTGTTTAAATAATAAAATCATCGTGGCATAATCCTTAAAATAACACTCTGAGCAACTAAAAATGCTCTTTATTGATACATCATTAAATGTTCCTAATTCAACATGTAGCCATTTTGTAAAGCTTTCGGCATGGACCCATTTTACTATGATTATGCAGATTATATGGGTGTAAAAATTGACCATATAATAAACTCCTAGTTAGGACGGAATTATTTGCTCGTAAGTACAGAATTTTCATTTTTCAGTCAATAATTTTCGAAAATTTAGTTGCTTATGTTGTGATAACGTTAATCTAAATACCAAATTTTGTTTGAAAATTTTTTTGATTTTCAAAGTGTATCAGGAATTGTTTGTATTCATAAGATGACAGGTATATTTATCTTAATTTTAACAACATGTTCGAAATCAGGAATTTTCAATTACGCAAACCACCAGATAAGCGGAATGTAAACTGTTTTATGTATTACATAAAAATAAGAAATAAAAAGAAGCAATCAAATTCATAATTTTTGTTATTTTCAATTTTTAAAAATTGTTTCACCAAAAAGATAAACGTTTTTTTCTTCAAATAAAAGCAAAAAATATTGTGGTGTTCAAAATTTTGTATTATATTGAACAGGCAAGACCTGCTGTTGTATCAACTATATTTTAGTTTAGTCGTTTTGTAGTGTTTTCAATGAGCGTTACATAAATATTTTTTTAAACAGCTTTAATGTGTTTTGATAGTCATGAAAACATAACTTAATAATAGAAAAGTGGATTCTATTTTTAGTAACTTCAAATACTCAGCAAAAAATGTATCCACGAATCTAAGTCTCAAATGTTTGGAACAGTGATAAAAATAATTTTTTTATGGCTGTCAGTGCACATTCGCCTGCGAATGCGTTTGCAATTTGGATCGATTTTCATATGGCTTTGGAGTTATGATAAAACAATCTAATATATGTATCGGATCTTTGCATAAACGAGGGACATTATTATGTTATTAACGTGCAAATAAAATGCTATTATATCCATGACGTAATTAACAATGACGAAATAAACAAACATTAGCGTCGAAATTAAAATAGTAGAAAAAGGGGATGTTTTACCTATTTAGATTTTATTCATTACGTCTAGATAATGTAAAAATAATCCGAAATTTCAAAGACCCATTTAAATTCCTACATTCAAGTTAACTCATCAATTCGTAACTTTTCTTCTAAGATCTCTCCGAACGGTCATTTTAAAACTTTGTGAGGTTTTATGCCTTTTGAAACCATAAGAGTCGATTTTAATTCCTAACACACCTTTTTACCACGAAAGATTGGTATTTTTAAAGCACGCCTGGCTCGGAAAAATATTTTTGAGCGACATGAGCAAATAGTTCGCGAATAACTTTTCTGATCGTACGGACATAAGCTACCTGAAAACTAAATGGGCCATATCGTACCGACATCACGAACGGATTATCGCCAGCGTTTCATGTTTGGGGGTAACTAGAGTTTCAGTCTAAATATTGGCATTTGCTGCCTCACATAATACTTTGGTGAATTATCGTCTAAACAAACATTGATATAGAAAATAGTTGTGCACTTTATGTCTGTGGCCAATTAGGACTGATTTACAAGAAGTGCACGTTGTACTTTTTGCCAATGGTAATTAGTGGTCCTGTGTTATAATTGTAATGCTGTTTTTACCCTTTAGTCACTTAAACATTGCTTGAACATTAACCGCCATATTATGAGAGTACAGAATCCTTATAATGCCTTATTATATGGCTAGTTAAAAATTCATTTATGATCGGTCAAAATGGCCATTTTTGCCTCATTTTGATGTTATAAATATTGTTTCAGGTTTTTCAGCAAATTCCAAGGGCTTCCTCATACAATAGGCCCAAGAATATGTGATCAAATGTCTTTAGTTCCAAAGCAAAAAGAAATGTGTCTGGAGTAAGTATAGCTAGAATTGTATTACTGTACTTTACTATAAGTTGAACAAAATAATAAATTTTCTTTCAATTTAGTGACCCTAAAGTGATGGTGAGTGTCGGAGAAGGAGCTTTTAATGGAATTGCAGAATGTCAATATCAGTTTCGTACAGAGAGATGGAATTGTTCAACAATTGAAAAAGGACAAACCGTTTTCGGGAAAGTCATAAATCCTGGTAAATACCATTTTTATTGAACCATATTTCATCGATTTTTAACATTAAGATTCTATATATTTTCGAAACATCACAAAGAAGACAAACTTTTTCGTTTTGTTATCATTTCTTTGATGTGTTACCAGGTATAATTGAAAGTTCGAAATCGACTTATTTTTGAGACAATTTTAAGTTCATACAATACATAACCTATAATATTCCTAACATCTCAGGTGAGGTTAAAAGAGTCGTTGAAGGTGAGAGACAATTTGTGAAGAGAAATAATTGATTTTGTAACAATTCAAACCGATTTTCCGGCTAATCAACTTGAGCTGGGTGCAAATTACTTCGCTAAATCAAAAAGTAATCGAATAGCTCAGAGCATGATTTTAACAATTCTTTTTATAACAGACATAAAAGTCAAGGCTTTCACGGTGCTAATTAAAGCTGACTAATTAGATGCTTAGAAATTATTAATGTTTCGACACGAGTCCCTATGATATTTAGCACGCGTTTGTCCAAAAATAGATCAAAGTACCTTAAAATTAAATTTAGTGGTAACTTTTTTATGCGACCTACGAACTAACGTGATGAGTCTTTGCGCAATTCAATGCATTTATTAACCTGTCCTGCTATTTTTTCATATTTGAGTTACCATCTTTGTTTAATCCAACATATTTCAACGGGATATGTATTTCGGCACCCCTATAAAACGTAGTTAATTGCGAATAAAATGACCTTTTATACAATTTTAAAATTTGCAATTTCAAATAAAAAATACAGGGAGTTCATAACATCTCTTTATAATTTAGGACATAACGTCATGAATTTTAAATTGACTTCTTGGACACCCTGTATATTGCTAAATTTCTCAAGGAGTTTAACTTACCATCCAAATTTTTCAAGCAAAATCAACTTCCAAATAATCAATTTAATCTTGAAAACATTAAAAAAATCACACAAAAACGAGATTTGTAATGTTTATAATATAAATATATTTATGTATTTCAAACTTAAGAAACTGAATGAATTAGTGCGCACCTGAAACATCCAGCATCCATGATATCGTCTCAATTATAAGACAATTCAAATCGTTATAGGACCAACTTATTATGACCAAGTGTATAATTGAACTAAAAAGCAGCTCATGATTGTACTAATACAATGAAAATGAAACATCTTTTGTCACGAATTACGATGGTGAAAATTATCGAACAATTCATTATTAATTATGTTTTGGAAAGTTTATCCGAAACCACCATCCAAGTTTCTGTTGCGCATTCAAATTTGCCAATAAGTGAAATACCGGAAAAAGTCGCGCCGGTTACCCGCAATAATAATGTGATAATATTCAAACCTTTTCAGAATCCGATTTTCCGTGTTGATAATTTTAGGATTCAGAATTAATTGGAGTATAAAATATTTTGATGAAAATATAAAATTCTTGGAAAACAGTCGTATAATCCAGATCTTGATGTCAAAAGAAAAGTTAACATAAAGCAGACTGTTAGATGCCATCTATTAGAACGTGCAGGAATGTCGGAACGTTTCAATCAACAAGTCTTTGCCATGAACCTTTTATTTACACGTTCAAAACTCATTTCCAAACAGATTAAAACATTTCGCTTTGTAATCATGGATTGTTTTGAAAAATTAAATTTAACAGTAGACTCAGTTGTCAGAACGTTTTATATCTTCTCATTCGTCAAAAATGTAGCATTCATTTTTCACATGCAACATCTTTAATATATTTTTTTTAGTGGTATTTTTCTGAAAACGCAACCAATTAACCAACGTTTTACCAATTTGATTAAAAAGTGTATAAATTGGAATATTGCTGAATAACTTTTTCAATCTTTATCTTTTTACCTAATCCAAGAAATTAGAGTAAACGCGAAACCATTCGCATCATACGTAATACGATGCCAATGACGTAATACAATTGTGTCAATTGGAAAACTAAATTATTTTATTGGAATCTGTGATTAATTGCATTTTCTATTGTTCGCTTTATATTCAACAGTCCTATTACATTGCTAATTTTCTTTTGATTGTGACCACTAATTACGTTCCAATACGTTTCTAGTAGTCTTACTTGGAAAGTAAATTGTCGCAGACTGACACCTTAACAAGCCTGTAGAATAGATATATCGCACTGTATCCACAGTACATACTTTGTACAAGTGAATACATTATGAGTCTTGGAATATCTAATTACTATGGAATATGGAATATTTTGGTGCATTTTTTATAGTAATGTGGCTTGTAACTTACGTCAAACAAAATTTGTGTATCCGCGATTTAAGTTATTTAATAACGTACAGATTCTAAGAAGTAACAATGACATAAACGTGGAACTGTGTGATCGCAATTTTTCTTTTAAAAATCATGTGTGCATTGTTTTACTATATTCAGAAATGATTGAAATATTTTGATTTACAAAAAAAGTTTAAAAATATGTCTATTAACAATTGATGATGGGGTCGCCTTTTCGTAAACTAGTTTTATGTTATCAAATAGGCTCGATATATAGCGATTTTACGCGCTTAGCATGCACTTCGGATATTGCTAACCTAAGAGTGACTAAGCTATTACGATGATAAAATAAATCGTTGGCTCGATTTGCCTCTTATTTATTTTATTAGTTAGTTTGATAAATAGTCAACACAAATAATATTATGTAGGCTCTGTATTTTTTCAATTAGGTAGTCGGGAGGCATCGTTCGTTCATGCTATCACGGCAGCAGGAGTAATGTATTCGGTAACAAGAGCCTGCAGCAGAGGTGATATCAATTCTTGTTCTTGTGATCGAAGAAAACGTGGAGATGATGAAGACAGAGAAGGTAAAGAAATACAAAAAATTTGAAGCTATTAATTGAAGGTTTGATGTGAATGTTAGACCACACATATCAGAATGAACTAAATGTAATTAAAATTATAACGCATCACACTTATTATACACTTGACATGGGAAAGATGAGATGAGTTTTTTTTTTCATGTATATTTTTAATACGTTTGTTACTATAATTTAGGAAAATTTACTTGGGGAGGCTGCAGCGATGACATCGGAAACGGCACTTACTTTGTTCGAGAGTTCGTAGATGCAAGTGAAATTAATGTTCACGATGCAAGAGCAGAGATGAACCTTCATAATAATAGAGCTGGGCGACGAGTAAGAATTTTTTTAACATTTTTATTTGAATAACACAAAAATTGATTTCCAGTCAATCTGATAGAACCTTCATATTGCGCGCAGAAGCGCTTGTTGCTAAGTCTGCAGACAAGTTGATCAACTTTATATCGTATCATGCATTATGTATGCTGTCTACATCATTAAAATGCAAAACACCTCGTTGCATCCAATGTGAAACAAAAGTCTATATTATTTTACTAAAAGAATATAACGGGCAATCATTTATCTGAAAACAAGCCACCCGAGGTGTTGATTGTTAATTAACAAATCAAACACGATCCCTAATTAGTGATATATACTGGGATGCGAAAATGATAAAATATTCACAAAAAACAGGCAGTTCTTTTTAACTCACTTGGTCGACGTTTCAACCAATTTATTTGACTTGTTTTCTGGAAGGAATTGTTTATACTTAAAACGTGATCAATAGAATATGTTGTATCATATATAAAAATACATCCATGTAAATATTCTAGACTAAATACGACTTGACGGTCACTTGATGTTCAAAACTTTAAGATAAGGACATGAAGTAAACTATGTTTAGGGTGCGGTAGCCAAACCTATGTCAAACAATATTTTTGTGACTTTTGTGTATTCACATTGAAAGAAATTAGATAATACATCTTCAAACCTTGCTCAGAGTATTATGGGAATATTTCTCACGGTGGGTAACGTGTTTATTACAAACGAATGAACGTCGCAAAAATCAATCATAATTATTTTGGTTATATAACGAGAAGAGAAAAAAGAATCAAAATTTATCAGAATCAGAAAGTACTAAGAGAATTTCCTTACGCATTGCTGGGATACGGTTTCATACTCTAATTAGGTATTTCTAAGGGGAATTTGTTGACTTGTCAGCCTATACGCGACAAAGTGTCTCCACTGGTTTCGATTACAAGTTTACCAATGGTAAGTATAATACACAAATTAAAGGAAAATTTTCAATTAATTATGTACAAAAATATGTCCTGAATGCCAGGTATGTTTACTTGCCACCAGAAACAATATTAAATGGGACATCCCGATTTATATAAATAAATCAACATGGAAAATATTAATACACATGAAAAAACGTGTATTTTATTAAAATAAAACGTTACAAGCAATTATTTATGTACACCGTTAATTGAAGATCTTATTTCTTTCGTTAACTAAAACAGAATATCCGCACCAAAACTTACTTAGTCCGTGAGAACTGTCAATCGCTTATTCGATGGTTCAAATCAAAACATTCTTACGTCGCTTTGTATCAATGCATAAGTAGAAATGTTTCTAAATTTAAAACAATATGACGTATGTTACGAATCTGTGATGATTGCGGATTACAAAACATATAATCGGTGTTTTACTCCTTTTAATACGTATCGGAATACCTGCGGTTTGCATTTTGTAATTTGTTTTAATATTAGAACGACTCATGCAAGATGTAAGCTTGCAAGATGATCGTTTTCACGTTTTCAAACAGAATTCACTGTTGTATTTAGTTTACTTATGATCGCAAGAATTACAAGTTCAGTGTAATGAAAAACAGCAAAATGAATATGCTTCAATTGACGATTTTTTTCCAAACATTCCAATTGTCTAAAAAAAATTAATGGAACTTAATCTAGTTCCAGTTTCCACACATTGCGTCATTTGAAATAATGAAATTTCCACAAAGAAAGAATCTTTCAAATATTTGATTTTGACAAACTTGTTGTCGGGATTGCTTTGATCTTTTAATGACAATGTACAATTTTCTTTTATCTTTACTTTTCATTGAATGCTTCGAAATTTCAACATAGAAAAGTAAATAAATGTAAGGATTATTAGATTAGTTCACTGAACTCAAGAATCAAATACGATCATATTGAAAGCCAGGGTTAACTATAAGGTAACAGGAGCGATAGAATAAGAGATATAGCCCCCTGTGTGGCCCGATGTGTTTGATTAATTTTCACCTCCAGTGAGTGACTGTGTAAACCCGAAAGACTGTTTTGGAGCTGTAATGTTAAATCAAATCATTTGTATTTTTTGTATTCTGACAGGCTGTGAAAAAATTCGTGAAGCGTCAATGTAAATGCCACGGAAAGACTGGCTCGTGTTATTTACGAACATGCTGGGAAGCAATGGGTGAATTCAGGCTTACTGGAGACTATTTGAAAGCGAAGTACAATAATGCCGTTCGGGTCACAGTGACACATAATGGACCGAATACAGCAGTGGAGACAGGAGGCGAACTAGTATCTGCTGATAAGCTCAATCCGCCTTCAAAGAATGATCTCGTTTATTTAGAGAATTCTCCTAGTTATTGCACAAGAAACGCAAAAATAGGTGAGAATGTCATATTATTTCCTGAAAATGGGTAAAGTTTCTTTCCAGAGCTGATTTAATCGATGAGGTTTATGAAAAATAAGGTATAACGTCCAATCCCTTACGATAATAATGAGATCGGTGTAAACGACGATCATTTGGAGCGCCTAAATGTTATTTTTGGTATATATACATATATAACATCTTATGGAATAAGTATTTTTAACAATCATATTAGCTACACCGATTACGTATTACTGATTTAAATTTGAGTAAAAAAAAGCGCAGAACGTTGAAGAAGTTTGCCTGCTAATGTAGACAAATTGAAGTGGATGAATCTTCATAGAATTTCGATATCTTCGATTTCTGTGTTTCATAGCTTTAATTATAATGTTGGAACAATTATTAGATTTATTTCTCGAATTCAACTTAATAAAAACGATCTTTCATATATATGTTGCGTATTTTGACGACATTTTTTCGCTTTTATGAAATCTATTTATAATTATCCAGGTACTTATGGGACTGGTGGTAGGGAGTGTAATGCAACATCGACTGGCAACGATGGGTGTGACAAACTCTGTTGCGGAAGAGGGTATACGACTAAAAAAGTAACGAGAATCGAAGACTGTATGTGCGAATTTCATTGGTGCTGTGAAGTAAAATGCCAGAAATGCAATCAGGTATAGAATATCTCTCGGGTTTATTAATCTTGTGTTTTATATTATAAAAGATTAAAAAAGCACATATAAAAAAGCACATATATTTCGGTTTACAATTTATTTTTGTGTGTGTGTGCAAAAACAAGCTTCTGTCAATAATTGTAATTATTTTGGCTCATTTTTGATTGTTACGTTACAGTTTATTTACATCAAGTTTGCTTGTCACGTCTGGATGATTCATGGCGACATTAATTCTGATGATGCTCATCTTTCTGTTTAAAATGTAAATGCTCTTGTTGGTTTTGTACTGCTATTTTTAATGTACCAGTAAATTGAGTGCAGGCTGGTTCCGGTTAGCATATAATCTAGTAATGCACAATTTACTTCTTTTGTTAATAACAATCGATCTTTTGTAGACGATCGATATCCACACTTGCAAAGAAGAAGATGAATTTGACATCTCACACGTGGATGCAATACCTTCAACAACATCACCATCAACAACCACAGTATCTACAACAAAAGCAAAGCGCAGAAAGGGGAAGGGACGAAAAGGAAAAAGACGAAAAGGATCAAAAAGAAAAAGAGGGAAGGGGCGCAGAAAGGGTAATAAATCGAAAAAACGTGACAAAAGAGACGTCAAAAACTTTTATAAAACAGACAATTATCGTACGCGATTTTTTTCACGAGCAAAACAAGACACAGGTTCTCAGAATCACAGAATTGTATCAGAACGAGGCGGCACTGTTTTAAGATGATGGCTTCTGTAAAATGCACATTGAAATGGTTTTAACAATTTTGATTGCATATGCTTGAGAGGCAAGGCGACGAAGATGAAATACTCGTACCATGACAGATGGATAAAATTATAGATTGCGTGCTTGAACGGATTGCAAATAGATTTTTCTTTAAAAATTGAGATTTTTTGTGAAGCCAACCACATTGCGACACAATCTACTGCCATTTGGGTGTTACGAAGATAGTATCATTAGCAGGACATTTAAGAACATTTTTACTTTCGATGTCCGATTCAACGTAACATATCGCCTGACCTGCCGAAAAAAAATGCGTGAAATATGAATGCTTCCATAACGTGGCAAATAAATGAGATCATACTTATTTCTCGTAAATAATATTTCATTACATTTAATACGATTTATATACAATTGAGAAAATTTACAATTTAAGCCCAATTATTAGGATGAAGAACGCCGCTTATCATCACATTATGCAAAGAATGCTTGCGTTATATTACTCTTAATCGGATGCGTTTGAAATGTTCGCTGCCCAGGGCTTTCGCAATAGCTGGGTGAATTCTGATCGCAAAAGTTTATTAAGTATTTTTTTTTCAACTAGTGTTGTAGACAAATTAAATACTAATTTTGAATAAGAGTCAAAATTTTAGCTCCATACCTAGTTTACTGACAGTGCGCATTGAGAATTTGAATAAACATACAGTCGTTAAAGACTGCATTTAGTGGAAAACAGGACATGGATTTCTGCTTGATAATATGATTTTTTTTTCCTTCTCTTGCGCTATTTTAGAGTAGAATTTCATTATTTACTAACCAAAGTTCAAACGTCACAAAACTTTTAATATAATGCACTGTCTTTTTGTTTCTTGTTTTTGTTTGTTTATTACGGTTCCTTTCACAAATTGTAGTTCTATCCTAAATGTATTATAAGTTAGATTAGCAAGTGACGAAAATATGACTGCTGAGCTAACATATTTTAAACTTTGATTATATCGTACTATAGTAAAACGTTAGATTAGTTTGAACTCAAACGGATAGCGCTTGAATGCCGTGCTTCGCATATTTTTAATTAAGACTCAATGTTCATGAAATGTAAATTGTGCTATTACATCACACGGCTTAATATGATCGTTTGATGTAACAGTACATTTATGTTACAAGCTACGGCTCTCAAAATCTTTGTTTAAATCTTGAAAAGCTAGTTCCTTCCGATGAACACATGTTTTATTAGAATCATCATTCATTTGCTTTTTCTTTTCAGTGATAATATCTTTACTTTGCTTTTATTAATCTTGTTTTTATATTTGTTTATTTATTATGATTGATTATTTTTGCAAGTTGAACGTGCTTTATCAAAAGTTTATTTATTGTTTCTCTACTGAGCAGAGGGGCAGGAAGGTTTAGAGACTACGGATTCATGATAGGATCACCTTTAAATGACAAGCAAGTGAATTACTTGATAACACAAAGCATTCAACGGCCAACGCACTTTAGTGTGCCTCTGGAGTTTTTTTTTTGTGATTCGCCATAAAGTATCAGGCAGGGCTGGATTTATTTAGGTAAAAGTTAGTAAAGTGTAAATACAAATTTGTTTTCTATCGAAAAACCCAAATTTCCGGTATTAACCTTATCTCTACCCAGACTTGGCCCCGCGCCACCCGTTTCGTTTAGGCCCTTGTTTTGAACGAACAACGAAATATGGTGATAGATTATGTGTCGAAGGGGGCATTCGGCCTGGGCAGCAGTTCGCAATGTGTTTTTATTTATTTAAAATCATTGAGTTAGAGTTTAGGCTGACATTAGGTTATAGTTTTGTGTAAGTCATTGTAGTGATGGCGAGTCAACAATGGATGTTTCCCCGACCCTTGACCCCAGAAAAATTCTCTATCTGATTTTTTGCCATGACGACAGTTTCGCACGCGCGCATTACTTGCATGCATGCGAGGCTGCGAAGTTTATGTTTGATTCCAGTACGACGATTACTGCCGAACACGACGATTGGTTTTACTTATTCTTCAGTTTTCTTCTTATGTAATTTGATATCTCCAAATTTGATCCCACGGACGAAGCGAATACAACCAAGCGGGGCTCAATATCATCGCAAGAAAAGACGCACGGAAGCAGAAGATACTGTCCTGAGAGGCTCTTTAGATATGTGGTTGAAAAAGTTATACGTCGCGAAAAATCAATTGGGTGCTGAAAATCATGAATTTGTGACTGTAGTCCAAGGTGAGGTCAGTAGTCCAGTTAACACTTGACATTGTTCGTGACAATCTATCGCACAATTCGATTCCAGATAACGCTGGTGATTTTGCCGAGATGAGTGTTAATGCTGAGGCAAATGCTGTCACTTTGAACAACGACACTGAAGGTAACAATAACGATGGAAATTTCATCGAATTATTTCGTGACCACGACCTTGGGCGTTTAAGGAAGCCGATATCTACACATTTAGTAAAATTCTTAGTTCAGCAAAGGACCAGAGAAATTACAACACCAAGAAGATTCTTTTGCTAAAAGAGAAGAAAGATCTCTTTCTAAGCAGAAACTTTGTCAAGTAATGGAGAGTGTATGTAGAGAAAATGGCTGATATATTCGCAATGCAAGGCAGCCTTTTTCTTTGTCTGTTTTTTATTTTCAAAATGTGAATCAAGTTTTTGCGAATAATCAATCTTATTGCCGGTATAATTAAGAAGAATATTATTTCTGAAGTAAAGAAAGCTAAATATTACACTCTGATGTTAGATTCTACTCCAGATATATCACGAGAGGATCAAATTACCGAGATCTTGAGATACGTCCACATCAGTGAGAATAAGGATGTCAAAATTAAAGAGGTTTCTTTTGGTTTTTTTCAAGTTTCTGAGAAAAACGCCGTAAGCTTAGTAGTAACGGTGATTGAGAAATTGAATGATGATGGAATTGACATAAATGATTGTCGAGCACAAGCATACGATAACGCGGATGTTATGAGTGGTGTACGAACTGGAGTACAAAAACGAATTTTGGATATCAATCCACAGGTCCAGTTTGTCAATTGCGTAAACCACAGCTTAAATTTGGCGTGTGTTCATGCAGCTGAAGTTCATCCAACAGTGGTTACATTTTTTGGTATTATGGACAAAATTTTTGTTTTCGTTTCATCTTCAACAACACGTTGGGAAGTACTGAAGTCAAAGGTTAAGAAAACTGTCAAGAAGCATAAATGATATATTGTCTCGAGTATTTTGAAGATGGCAAATATTCAAGTGAGACCAAATCTGATGCTTGTTCACTTCGTCATTCGTTGCAGCAATTTCCATTCGTTTCTCTCTTGAAATTTTAGTACCCCATTTTGTCATCCGTTCAGAGAGTGACAAAACGCTTACAACATCCATAGATTGATTTAATTCAGGCGAGTGATGATTTTGATGGGCTCAATAGAATTGTTGATCTGAAATCTGAGGACATTATTAAGAATGCAGTCAGACCTGCATCCGAACACTGCGAGGAGTGGGATGTACCCTTGACAAGAGTCGGGCGAAAAAAATGCCTGGAGAGAGTGTGAAAGACTGTGGCTTATCAGCAATTGAGGAAATGAAAAGAATTATGAATGAAATCGCAAACAGACTGGAGACCGAACTTTCAGAACGCTCAGGTCGCGTTAGTAGACTCGCTGACAAGTTTTCCTTCTTATTAAAGTTGAATTAAATTGATGTTGAAAATATGGAACATTTGAAAACCTTGAAACGACAGTGCGAGATTTTATTCTAACCATTTTGAGACCGACGTAAACTCATTCTCCCTCTACGAAGAAATCGTTGATTGCATTACGCTTTTCCGAAGTGGAAACAGAAATTTTCCAAAAAATGCTAAAGATTTTTTTGCTTCATTGGTTGAGCTTGGTTGGGATGTTTTTCTGAATTTGTGCATTGGATATCGTTTGTTACTCACAATTGGCTACTCAATTGCTAGTTGCGAACGATCTTTCTCAAAGTTGAAACAGATAAAAACATATTTGAGGTCTTCAATGTCAAATCAGCGCATGTCGAGTTTGTCTCTGATGAGCATTAAAAAAAAAAAAGAGGCTGTCGTTCAGACATTTGTTGACAGCAAAGTAGCGATTGGACATAGAAATTAATAAGTGGCTTGCTTTTTTGTTAGGTTTGTTGCTTAGCTTAAAGATTTATTTAATAAAACAAACGTTCCTATCTTACTTGATCTTTATTTTATTTATTCTCATGTATAACGACATCTATAAGCTGTTTAACCCCCGAATTATTCATGAAGTTAGGTATGAGAGGCAGCCTTTTAGAAACTCGTCCCAGGCAGCAGGAGATTTTGGCGCGCCCCTGCGCGTGAACCCCCTCGATTCATTACCAGAGAACGTACTACCTGAGATAAAGCGTACTTTTGTAAAATCAAAACAACCAGAGGAGCAACAATCAAAAATTTAGAAACAAGATCCACAGTCTGTCTTAGCTTTTCTTTTACGCTGTTCAAGTTTCGATCTGCGTAGTTGACGCTGTTGTAGATACTTTCACTAGCAATGTTGAAATATGTAATTAATTGGTGTTACACATGAATATATTCAAATGTATTTCCAGTTGAGTCAGTGCCATATGCATATAGAGCCAATGTCATATGCACATACAGCCGTCTATTATGTACATACAGCCAATTCTTTTGCACATACAACCAACTCATATAAAGTCAACGTCTTAAACATGTACAGTCAAGGTCATATAGAGCCAACCAAATGTGCACATATAGCCAATATCCTATTCACCTTATATGCATATACAGTCAACTCATATGCATATACATCAAATGTTATATGCATATATAGCAAAATCTTATACATATAGGGTCAACTAAATATGCATATATATATATATATATAGCGAACTATCCTACATATATATTTAACCCTCATATTGAGTTGGCTGTATATGCATATGACAATGGCTGTATATATATGAATGTGGCATTGGCGCTACATGTATATGATTTGGCGGTATATGTTTTTCTTTGACTGTATTCGCATATCTTGTTACCAACCCCACTTCCACTAATCACTCCCCCTGAACTCAGTTCGAATTTAACGAGTACTGATGTTTTTACTCTGTAGAACAGCTGAATTCACATCGTTCGTATATCACGTTATCAACCCCACTCCTACTGATCATTCTGCTTAAACTCAGTTGAATTCCACGGATTCTGATAATGCCCTGTAGCACTGCTGCTAAATTCACCGCGTTTGTATGAGAAAGTTCAGGCGGGTTGATGATATCTTTCCATCAGGTCCATGCAATTAACACTACTTAGCTAAGAATGGTAACCGGTGAAGGGCTGTTGTTCTGATTATGATATAGGTCGTATTATAGCTTTCACTCCACGGTACAAATTTGAAAAGTCGTGAATATTTATTAGCAAAGTATTATTGCAAAATACATAAATTAATATGCAAAGTTATATTCTCACCAGTGATTTCCAAAGTGGGCGATATCGCCCCCTGGTGGGCGAAAACGATGCCGAAGGGGCGTTAGAGGGGCGATTGCGCAAAACCTGTTTTTGTGCGGTGGCTGGCGCATCGTGCACTTGATTACTGTACTCTGCGTGTGTTTGCAGGTTTGAATCCCGTGAGTGATAATCACACGCGAGAGGATATCTGGATTCCTTCCCGCGTAAGGTAGTTCGCGTAGCCCAAGGGTTCGGCAACCTACGACCCGCGGGCCGGCTTCACTGAATAAATAGCGACAAAACGGCCGCGCTATTACGATGAATTAATTTTATAATCTAGTAGATTATATTTTCTACGTAACAGAATTTAGTGTGAGACACGTTTAGACTGCGTTGGTCTGGCTTGCGATTTCCAAGAAAAAGGTTATGCACCGTATATTATTCCAAAATTTTTTGACATAAAGTTTTCCCACGAACAAGCTAAGAGCAACAAATAGTTATGAACATATGAACTTAATGAATGATGATGAAATCGTTGACTTATCTGAAATTCGTTGAAATGTTGATGAAGCTCCAGGCCGTCTGGTAAGAACTTTTGTTTGTATTTACAAATTAAACACCTTTTTTTAATGCTTTGGCTTAGATAACTGGATAAACTGTGGTTGATGAATCAAAAGTGGATGACAAATGATCGGTGAAATATGAGCAATAAACCTGAACTGGTGAATATGCCGAGTGTGGCCTCTTCACCACTCTGTACACTTCTACAGAAGACTGTAGCGACGCATCGAGTATTTAAAAAGGTAATTTGATAATGGAGTTCATTTTGACGCGTTGTAGTCTCCGTAGTTTGAATTCGAGATGTGAAAGTTGTTTGTAAGTAGGAAACCAATTATATTGTAAAATATTACAAACAATATTATTTTTGTTTTACAGATAAATTGTCTTGCAAGGCGCGTCGAAGTGACTGTCACAATATAAATGCGGTTCCTCACTAAAGCATTTAATTTCGATCTCAACTAAAATCAAACTATAGTATATATTTATAGAACTTGAAACACTGATCAGACAATTAACACCGTCTGATTCTAACACTCTGGAATTCATTGTGACTTCAGATTATTGGTTTTAAGACTTAACTCGGGGTGTCATTGCCATCTAGCTCGAGAACTAAATGTCGAACTCAGAAACATTAAACCGCGCCACATCAGTCTAGTAATGACGTCTAACTCAACTCTGGTCAGTGACTTTGGACTGTTAATGGCAACATCGAATTAATTTGTAATGAAGTGTGTTTTCACATGTGTTGGACCGCAGATGCATACCTTTATTCCTGCCTGTATTAGATTTATAGCCATGGTCGATTACATTTAACACCTAGCAATGAAGCCAACTGGGGCTGTTTGCGTCGCCTCAGCCAACTTTTTACAAGTTTTACCGGGGGCTTTTCCCGTTTTAATTTATCGAAACATCGCGTTGTCAAGGCCAACAAAGAATACCTCAATAGTTATTCAAGATTTGCCTGGTTGGGGTGTTGCCGCCGATGTACTTTGCATGATCAGGCTACATCAATCGTTGATGTTTCCTATTCTATGTTTTATTCGAGCATATCTTGTGACCTTACCACTGGGTAAATGTTTACTGAAACATAAAACTGTTACCATTCTGTACAAAACACTTCCTTAAATTGTAGTACGTGATGGGGAGAACAGCTATAGCGTATATTTCAAGCCCACTCGCGCGTGTAATTTTTGAATTGATTGTTGAAATCGAAAACTTCCTGGAGTCCGCTCCCTGGTTAATTAAATTTGATACCAAAACTAAATCACTACCTGGGAAATCAAATAAAAATAAGTGAAATGGAACATGTATTACAAAAACTTTAAAACTAAATGTTTCAAAACATACCCAACTTGTATATATATATACTTCAAATTATACATACTGTTGTCGATATTAATTTTTGAATAAATTTCATGAAAAAAATTTGTCGTAATTCGTATCCAAAAGAAGTAATTATTTAACTTTTGCACTGTAAAAAATGTACAAATTAATTTAATTAACGATTGGCAATTTCACTGAAATTCAGCTTATCAATAATAAAAATTTGGTCTTTAGTCTTAAGAATATATAAATCACAATAGCATGAGAACTTTTATTTATCATTTAGTAACAACAAGAGAGCTATGCTCCAATATGTGGACACGGAGGGCAAAACGAAATATTTTATCATCAATTCCCCGAAAAACATATATATGCGGTAAATCACCAGTACCTGAATCAGGGTAACCGTACAGGGACCGTCACAGTATTTTTCCCATGTCCTGTGACGATGATCTATTCTTCGTGATTCGGTTTCAACGTGAATTGAAATACCAGGTGACCCGAGTCACGTCATAACACACAAAACAAATCCCATAGAGCTCACAGAAATATTGGAAATGAATAAAGCGAGAAAATACAATCTTTCACCACTGAAAATTTCAAAGCAATTGGCCCAGTAATCAAAAAGAAAGGCGATTGGGGGAAAATTCCAAGAACAACAACAACATATTAAAAAAAACGATCCGTAGGTTTACTCCGTGTTCAATAAATCAGTAAGAAGTTTTCGATGGAATAGTTTATCCGATTATGTACACATGACTCCACACATGCTCGACCATCTTCTATTCTTGGAGGTCGTTCTCCCAGTCTCGTTGCCTTTGTTGTTGACCTGGAATTACAGGTCAACAACGTTGTTATTACAAGTTTTGAGGTTAAAGGTTTGTTGCAATATTTGAACTTTGGGGGAATATAAAATATCTCGAGATTAATAGGGGAATACAATTATATGTGTGTTCACCTTTCGGAACAATAATTTGTACTTGATAACTAATAAGCTACTATCAACAATTCGGTTGGATGTAACAGAGGATTTTTGTTTGTGAATTGTATATTTAAGTAGAAGATGAAAACTTTTAGAGTGGAAACATGTTCATTTCCTTGGAAATTGGTGTTGGATATATTACAACAGAGAATAAATATCATTATCTTCCGAAAATTGTCTAATTATTAACTGCAACTTGATGTCGTGATTTATATTTGTTGTCTTGTGTTTGAGTTTACCTTCATTTCCAACTGTTTTGGAAGATTTGAACTCAACTTCAACTGTGTTTCCAGCTCCCAGTATTATTTTATCAGCTTCTACATTATTTGTATTGAAGGTGTGGCCTGCAGACAGAAAAAGCCTTTTAAAAAAAACAGTACCGTTGTACAACATATTATGTATGTATTCTCATTTGGTCTTCCCAGTTGAAAGAACAACCCAATTATTTTAGAAATCTATGATATATATAATTCGGATAGGTTTACAAAATTGTTATTTCATAATTTTCAAGAGTTGAACTACGTAGGGCTAAAGCAATAATGGGGCCAAAAACAGTTCACACTAACCATAACGAGCACAGTTGAGTTCACACTAAGCACAATGAACACAACTAGAATCTTCAGGATAAGGTCGTCCATGCAGAGATTCATGTTTTTGCGGTATAGTTTGCAAATTCCAGTCAAAGCATTTTTCTAATTCATGGATTCTGTCTTCGTAATACTGCATATCTGATCTTCAATTCATACAGATGTCAAATTATTTTAATTTTTGAATTAAATTATGAGACTTTAAATGAGCGCTAGGGAACTGAGTAAGTACCGATATGGCTTTTGCGAAGACAAACTTTTTCACTTACTTGACTTTGAAGGTTTTACTTGTGAGAGATCCACTTTCGGAAGAGCTAAATTGAAATTGAAAGCTAAATTACGGGTTCCTTTTCAAAGTTTAATTAAATCAATGACAATCAAGAAAAGCATATAGTTTATAATTTCAAAATATGTATATACATCAGTTGCAACGCATTGAATTGATAAAATTATTCTCAAAATGAACCATAGTACAGTCGGTGGTTTTACTCTGGTATTCAAACGAAATGAATCAGTTCAAGGTTAGTTGAGTTAAAGTATTTGTATAATGCCAAAGATTTTATCATTATTGCATTTGAAGAGAATGATAAAATTTTAATTCAGCAATAACTTTTCTAATATATATATGCAATACCTGGTTTTTGCTCAGTGTTTTTGAGCGTAATATGGTTCCCACTGCCAGCAATCAATTCTTTTGTTTTCAGATCCCCAAGGTTGAATACTATGACGTAAATTATTAAACAAACGATTGGTGTATGTACTGGTAAATTCCAGGTTACAGGTTTTGTAACGTTTTAGAAGTGACAGTAGAAATATATTTATGACACAATATTCCACCAGTTGGATCGATTTATAAGTTTTCTTTTAAAAATAGGACTACAATTTTTTTACCATTTTACTGTGAGACAAGTTTTAGGCCCTGAACAGCACAAGAAGTAGAAAAATTAAAACTTATAATGTCTTCATACCTACGATACCACATTATAATTTAAAATTTGTTGTGCAATTGACGTTATAGAATACCTTACATATTTACCATTATTTCCGGGTGTATTCGATTCTGCCATTGTTAATTCTGCTTTGCCGATCCTTACACTCAATACAGCCGATTGGGGCTAATGCTTATGATGGCAGCCACCGCTACTTCTGATAAAATACAGTACATATCACGATATTTGACCCCGGACTTCCCCCGTTTTAGTTCTTAAAACACGGGTCGTCTATGATCTTCACAATGTTTTTGCTCAGTTTTCCGTTTCCCTTGCGTGTGCCGCACATAACTAAACACTTCCTCAAAATGAGTACACAATGGGTAAGACATCACAACGACTATTTACACTATTACACAACAGACTTGGAAACCTTAAACCCATTTGTGTGTGCTATTTTTAATACATACACTAGGCCTCAGATGATTAGTATGAAACTTGTGACTCACTCGATACTTGGGTTGAACTTACCAAAACTGAATCACACAGACTCACTCTGTACACAATGTAAAATTATGTTCCAAATGTTAGACCCCTGTCTAATTCATCTACTACTAAATAATATTCCAATTTCAGAGTGTATCTAACTTCGTTACAGCAAAAATTCTCTAAGACTGAAGAAGCCATGGAAGTATACAAGTCCTACCTGGTTTTCCAGCAGTAAAAACAGTCACACAGGCATGCAAGTAGTTTAACTATAAATTAATATAAATAATTATGTGACAGCTTGTGGCACTAACTTGTGATACTTCTGGTCGCATTTGAATATTAATTGTATTCAGAATTTCACGCAGATCGTGGCAAATTGATCATCAACTTTACTGTAGATGTAGCTCGCACACATTACTCAATTTACGTAATTCCGCGGAGGTGACAGCATATTTCCACTCACGTACATTTGTATCTTTTGCACCCTGTAAAATTGCACCCATGAACGTTTGCACCCACGACATTTTTACCCATGTACATTTCCCCTAATAGACATTGGTACCTACATACATTTGCACCCATGTACAATTCTACTAATGGACATGTGCACATACGTACAAATGCACCCATGCACATCTGCATTCACAGACTTTTGTACCCATGACATTTTCGCGAATATGCATTCGCCTCATAAACGCACCTATTGTCCTGTTTGCGAATACCCGTGTTTCAGACAAACTCACCAGCTTTGAATATAAATTCAAAATGAAGACGGATTACAAATTTTAAATAACCCTTATTTATGGTGAGGGTTGCTATGTTTTACTGTCATTGCAAGTTACAATCCTATCCCACTTCTGATTACACTGCATAGATCAGTTACACCTAACAATAAAGTCAACTGTTTGTGACGCTTCAGCCATCTTTTTACAAGTTTTACTGAGAGCTTTTCCTGTTTTAGTTTCTCAAAAACATTGCGTTGTTAAAGTCAGCAAAGAATACCTTAATAGTTCACGATTTGCCTGGTTGGATGTTGTCGCTGATTATCCCTCTCGTGCATGGGACTGCACACAGTGGTGGGATTCAACTGGTTCGCACCGGTTCTATATAACCGTCTCACGGAATTTTACAAAATCAGCGAACCGGTTAGCATTATTAGTTACTGTCAAAGTTCTGTTCAAACTGAACCGGCTGAAAAATATGACTCTTGTGAAGAAACCGGCTGACAAAAAAATTGAATTCCCCAACTGACTGCACATATACTTTGCATGGTTGAGCTACATCAATCGTTGATTTTTCTCATTCATTTTTTCATTCGAGCGTATCTTGTGACTTCACCGATAGGTAAATGTTTACTGAAACACAAAACTGTTACCAGTGGGGCAGTCTGTATATTGCGTAATGAGGAGAACAGCTATAGCGTATATTTCAAGCTCAATCGCGCCTCTTATTTTTGAATGGATTGTTGAAATCGACAATTCCTCATAGTCTGCGCCCTTGTTAAATTCGATACTAAAATTAAATCACACAAACACAGAATGATAAATTGAATACAAATGAGTGAAATATGAAATTATTACTGAAACTTCAATATGAAATGTTTCAAAACATACCAAACTTCTATAGATACTTCAAATTATACATAATGTTGTTGATATTAGCTTATGAATAAATGTCATAAAATCGCAATACAACAATAAAAAATACTTGAAGAGAAAAGCGATTTTTTTCATTAGGATAGGAAGAAAAATTTCAAGAACAACATAATAAGAGAACGAAATATAGGGCCACTCTGTGTCCAATAAATCAGGAAATAGCGTAAGTTTTGTATGTAAAGTTTACGACGGAAAAGTTTATCTTATTATGTACACAGGACTCAACATATACTCGTCTACTCTTGGAGAAAGCTTTCCCAACCTCGTTGACCTCGTCGTTGATCTGAAAGTTGTTATTACAAGTTTCGAGGTTAAAGGTTTGTTGCAATATTTGCTATCTTAAGATTAATAAGAAAATATTTTATATATGTGTCTAACGTTTGAAACATTAATTTGTACTCGATAATTGATGAGCTACTATCAACAATTCGGTAGGATGTAACAAAAGATTTTTTTTGTGAATTGTATATTTATGTAGAAGATGAGATTTATTAGAGTCGAAACGTTCATTTTCTGGAAAATTGGTTTTGGATATACTACGAGAAAAATTATCATCATTTTTAAAAAATGATTCAATTATCAATGTTATAAGAATTTTGATATCTGCACGTGATGATTTATATTCATAGTCATGAATTTAGTTCACCTTCATTTCCAGTTTTTTTGGAAGAATTGTATTTAATTTCAACTATGTTTTCGCACTTCATTTCTGTTTTATCAGATACTACATCATTCCGCACAATAAAGATGTTTCCTGCAGGTGGAAGCCATGTTAATAAAAATACAGCAAAATATAATACCATTGTACAAAATTTTATAGAAACCAAAAATACTTATTTTGTCTTCTCAGATGAAGGAAATAAACAATGATTTTAGAAATCTATGATATAATTCGGAACCGAATAGGTTTATAAAATTGTTAATTTACAATGTTAAAAGTCAATCTACACAGAGTTAAAGCAATATAGAACTTAAAAATAGTTTACACAGACCACAGGAACACAATTGAGTTCACACTATAAGCACGTAGAACACAGTTAAAATCTTCACCACAAGGTCGGTTTTTGGGTTATCGTCTGCGAATTCTAGTCAAAGCGTTTTCTAATTCATGGATTCTGTCGTTGTAACTGGTCTTCAATGCACCAAAGTTTCGGATTTTTTTCTATTGTTTAATTTAATTCATAATAGTCATAAAAATAGTCACTAATAGTCATAAAAATTAAACGAACTGATTGAGTACCGATAATAGCTTTTGCGACGATAACTTTTTTTACTTACTCGACTTTGAAGGTTTTACTTCAGGGAGATCCACTTTCGAAAGAGCTGAATTAAAATTTAAAGACAAATGAAGGTTGTCTATTAAAGTTTAATTCAATCAATGGCAAGCAAGAATAGCATATAGGTTATAATGCCAAAATATAATATACATCAGTTCCATCGCAATAAATCGATGAAATGAAACATAGTACCATCAGTGGTTTTACTATGGTCTTCGAACGGAATAAATCAAATTAAGGTTAATTGAGATATTGGGATCAAACTAAATAAAAATACTGATAATTTGATAATTACGAAATTCATATTTCACAGCAGATTTTTCTTAATGTGAGAAAGCCATATAATAAGATTTTATTATGTCTAGTGTCATAAGGCATGTTTTTAAAAAACGACTTCGTATGCATATTTAGCAGTCACTCAAACGATTCATATGTCTGTGGAAAAGTAATATATATCAAACATCTTTGCGGAGAGTACTACGGAATATTATTCAAGTAGCAAAAAATTTATTATTATTGCTATGAAATGTATTATAAAATTTCAATTCATCAATAACTGTTTCTAATATATACGATACCTGATCCTTGCTCAGTGTTTTCATGTGTAATATGGTTCCTACTGCCAGCAATCAAGTGTTTTGTTTTTAAATTCTCAAAGTTGAACACTACGACGTAAATTGATAAACAAAATATAAGTGTATGCACTAGTGAATTTCAGTTTTCAGGTTGCGTAACGTTAGGACCGTTAAAAGTGGCAGTAGAAATATGCTTCTGATACAATATTCTATCTGTTGGATCGATTTATAAGTTTTCTTTTAAAAACACGACGACACAGGTATTTACCATTTTACTGTGAAGCAAGTTTTAGATGTTGAATAGCACAAGAAGTTGGAAAATTAAAAGCCACACGGCGTCATATCTACGATTCCATATAGATAAAAATGAATTCTAAATTTGTAGCGCAATTGACGTTATAAAAGATATTTCTTACATACATACCATTATTTGCGGGTGTACTCGATTCTGCCATTGTTAATTCTGCTGTGCTGATCCCTACACACAATACAACCAACTTCAGCTAATGATTATGATGGCTGCCACTGGTACTTCGGATAAAATACGGTACATTCTTGAGATTGAACCCTGGACTTCCCCCGTTCCAGTTCTGAAAAAAACATGGGTTGGGTAAGCTGTTCACGATGTTTTTTCGCTTCCCTTGCGGAACTAAACACTTAACTAAACACTTCCTCAAAATTAGTACACAATGGGTAAGACAACACAACGAATATTTGTGTATAAATGTGCATTACTGGTTTTGCAATGCAGCTTTTGGTTTTGCGGCTCAAATTTCTAAATTCTAACAGCTTGGGCCCCTTTGCGCTGTGGGCCCTCCGGGGGTGGATGCTACGCCACTGGTTAGATAGATATTACATACCATTGCCAATTTGAGCATATCATGTGTTCTTGTGTACCTACAAAATTCGGTACGGTACACCCCCTATCGATGTGGTACCATTTTTGAACTTTTTGGTACACCCTGGGGTGTACTATACACCTGGTTGACGAGCACTGCTGTAGAGCCTAGAAGTGACTTTCCGAAGCAACGTAAGAAGCACACATTGCTTCTGCCATTTCCGCCTATGTATTCGTCATTTACTCTTCTGCAAACGGAGCATACATCGCTAAACGTTTACCCAATGAAGACTGAAATTCATGATTTACGCTAAGCATTTCAATCCAGTATATAAAGAGATATGACCGGGTAAAGATTGTGCTATATATACTTAGTTCTGCTACAGTCTACACGGTAATCACACAGAGGGTAAATTATGTAAATAGTGTATGTTTAAATGCTGTTTCTTCATTGCATGAATGCCAAGTAATCTGAAATTGTTTCAACAAAATCAATGTTTATGTCTATGAAAAACCACAGCCATTTGAAAGAAAATTTGTCAAACAAAGAATGCAAAATAGACTTAACAAATGGTTGGTGATAGTTGTTGTTCTGCAGGCAGTGTTGCCGAGAATGGAGTCTGATTTTAAAATCGACCCGAATCATTTAAACATAAAGCGAGAAAGAGACTTGACACGACACTAAAAGATAATTTTGGGCGAGTCTTCGAAATAGCAAAAAAATTCCAGTGAATAAAGTTATACCACACCCTTTAATTTTTGAAGAAAAAAAAGAGAATTTCTCTTTATCTTTTTGCGGCAGTAACTTGAAAATGAGCCGTGCTGATGTCGATGTATAGTTGATAACAAATAGGCATACGATTGATTTTCTCATTTATCCGGGAGGAGGAAAGTCGACATGGCGACTGAATTATATGGCGTAACACGCCTTTCGCCGTGTTGATATTCTATGACGGTACGACAGTATTGTACGATACCTCCAAGTCCAGAGCATTTTATCTACAAGTCATATAAACCTGGATTTGTATTGCGTTGTTTAGATCTTTACACAAGCATCACTTGTATCTGAACTGAGTATATTTCTGGGACTCGATTTAATGAACATCATGTGAGAAAACATGAGGTTTTAAAGGGTGGGGAGTTTGTAAGGGTATTTCACTTTGGGAGAATTGTGTTTTCTGCCAATCCATTTGGGCAAAATTATTCTAACGACGAATTCTCTGAAAAAAAAAAAAAAATGTGCACAATCACATCTTAATCGTAGTTCCAAGGTAACTACGTAACATTGAAATGTTTTAGTCCCAATTTATTTGGGTTATAATAATGGCGTTACAGAGAAATAATTTGTAAACTGATTGTAAAAGTTTAAAGAGTACAGTTATGAATAGGGCCCGGCCGATATATCGGCCGGCCGATATATCAGCAATGTTTTTCACAAATTTCGAACTATCGGTATGAGCTAATTTTACCGATATATATTGGCCAATCACGTGACTGCCAAAGTGTCCATATTTCGCCGGGAAAGCAGTTTTATCGCTTGTTTAATTGAGAGCGGTTCTGCCTAATACTCTTTTTCTTGGTTACTTCTATTTCTCTCTTATCAAAAAGCGGCTTTTGACTGTGTCTCTCTTATCCAAAACGGACGTAAGGCACGGGATTTAACACTTTGTAAGCGAGTTTGCGAGCGTGGTGGCTTGCAAATTGAAGCGAGAGAAACGCGTGAGCCACTTATTTGTGCCAAATAATTTACGTTGGTTAATAAAGAATTCTTTTGACTATGTTTCGCTTATCCAAAACGGACGTATGGCAAGGGATTTAACACTTTGTAAGCGAGCGTGGTGGCCTTGCAAATTGAAACGAGAGAAACATTTGAACGACTTGTTTGTGTCAAATAATATACGTTGATTAAACAATTCTCGCCGTTTCCACTTTCTACGGCCTTGGATTTTCCTTCTTGTATTGATATGCAATAGATGGCTGGTTCTAGCGGTCAGAGCAAAGTATGGCAATACTTCGTGTGCCATAATGATGGCGTAATTTGTAGGATATGCTTATCATTATTAAGTCGAAAGGTTCCGTCGATTTAAAAAAAAAGTTGGGTATAATTTGTAGAGCCATTTCAAAGCAAAACACAAGAGCGAGTATGATTGGAGTCAATGCAGAAAAGCATTGGAGCCAATGCAGAAAAACTCTGCTCAACTACATCTGAGACTGTTGAATTGGAGCTATTGAGATTCATAAGCTTCCTGCCCTTACAATATGTGTTCTTTTTTGCCATGCACACAATTGCATGAGTTCAACATTTCAATTCTTTTGCAAGAAAAACACTGTATTCACTGTTGCTTGTTACTTGTAGCCATATTTGTAGGTGAGGAAACATCGGTATTGGTATCGGCCTAGTTTTAGAAAACTATCGGTATCGGTTCAAAAAGGCAGTATCGGCCGGGCCCTAGTTATAAACCCCCAAAGAAAATAACTTCCCGAAACAGGAGTCGCCTCAAATAGATGGTAACCCGTACAATTGACAAGTTCAATTGTATTGTTATGTTAGTAGAAAAATCTGCATATCGACAGACCTGAACTACTATAGTAGTTCACTCATTGTTAAGATGAAATTGATCACACAAATCTTATATCACAACAGTGGCGGCGCGTGATCATTTTGACAACCGGGGCAAGCTACTGCGGGACCAAGTCACCCCCATATACGGGGACAGGATAAGCGCTGTAAGTTCTCCCATCATTTTATGAGTATAAAAACCATTCCATCGGTAACAACCAATCGGCAAAAGCGACAATTTTTAACGATAAGAAAGTGTCTTTAAAACCGGTCCAAGTCAAGGGATTAATAAATATAGACATAGTTTATTTTGAAACCTCTTTCAAAAGGAAAGGCAATATTTACCCAGATAAATACAATGACATATTAACAGAAACTTCGGGAAAGCAGACAAAACCTAAAATAAGGTTTAAAACGTTACTATGAAGAAAGGAAAGGTAATGCAAAGATAAGGACATGCGTCGCTCACTCATAGATATATATGCTGCTAGACTTCTACTGCTTGAACATATATATATGCAACACACCGCGGTTTCTTGGAAGCAAAATGCTCAATAACGCGCTGATTAAAGTCATGCATCCCGGAAATAACGTCTCTGTGAATGGATAAAACAGCCAAGGAATTTAATCTATCTTGCTTCATTGTGTTTCTGAGATGCGTTTTAATACGCTTCAGCGTGCTGAATGTTCGCTCTGCGTCGGCGGAAGAAATAGGCGTCGTCGAAATGATGTCCAGAAATTTTGCAGACGCCGCAAAGGTAGTTACTAGAGTGTTATCTATGATGAACCCATAGAGCGCGCAAGTTGATGTGATGTTCAAAAAAGTTTGATTGGTGTATATACATCGCAATTCATTTTCCAATTTACCCACGTTTATCATGGGGTAAAATTTGGAGACAGTAGCCAACAAATGGATGGGAAATTGACGTGCAAATTTCGAAAAAATTTTGGGGTTCATCAAAGAGAACGCGGCAAGGTGTTCAGTGCGCAGACGATCGCCTATTTGATTCACCAGAATGTCACAGCATTCCTTTGCAGACAAAATCAAACGCTGCGTTGTTTGCCCGCGGCGTAAAGAAGCACTCCATGTGTCGTCGTATTTTATTGTTTCCCGGATACGAGATACAGCATCGCAGAAGTCTGAAATACACGACTGCACAGACGAGAAAAAATGAAAACTCACCATCTTCTAGCAGACGCTTTAGACCTGCCGCGTCCTTCACAGAGCGTTCGTCCCAAACCGGAGAGCTCTGAATGCCATTGAAACACTCAATGAGCTCAGACCTAATTTCGGACACGCCCTGCACCACGCGTGATTGGAAGTTCCAACGTGTTGGTGCACAAGCTGGGAGACGGCGGCTACATATCTGGCGAAGGAGGTCAGAGCGCTTCGGCGAAACGGAAAAAAATGAAGAAAACCCCGAAACATTTGCAAAAAATATACGGAGGAGAGGGGTATCAAGACACATATTTTTAATAACGAGGTTAAATTGGTGTGCATAACAATATAAAAAATGCGCATGAGGAAAATCTTCCTTTATATAAACTTGAACACCATGTTTCGACCCACTCATGACTGCCTCGCCGTCATAAGTTTGGGCTATCAATTTTGACTTCGCGTTGTCAGGCTGTAACACTTCTTTCAGTACAGCCGATATCCCGCAAGCCGTGCGATCAACGATTGGTACAAAGCTGTGAAATCTCTCGGTAGGTTTACCATCTTTCACAAACCGAAAAATCACAGCCAGTTGGGAAACGCACGTGATGTCAGTTGTCTCGTCAGACTGAATCGAAAGGAACTGGCAATTCTCAATTTCCAGAGCCAAATGTTGTAAATAAATTTTATACATTAAGTCGAGCAAATCATTTTGGATATCCTTAGATGTCCCTTTCGAAACAGTTGCGGCATCAAGATGATCTCTCAATACTGTATCTAGGGATGCGGTGTATTCCAACATATCCAAAAATACCCATCTATTAGAAGAGCCAGCCCGTTCATCGTGCCCACGGAGGGACAGCTCGTGACAACCAATGAACTTCAAAACATCTATCAATCGACCGATAACATGGCGGTTTTTCTCGACGTTTTGGTTGT